CGTCTCTTTAAAGAAACCATTCAGAGGATACGATTCCCTTTTTCTATTAATCCAATAATCATACATCATGGTGTACTTTATATTTAACTTAACCACGTGTGGGCGATATATTTAATTGATATATACTCTGTGCTGCACAGATTTATTGATCTTGTGACGTTTAATAAAAAAAAGTAACGTCATATTTTTAGTCTATGCCGGTGACGTCACCCAATATAGTCTGTATCGTTCCTACATCGATGGACAGAAATGTCGTTTATTATCAGATGTTATCATATAATAATTATAAAATATATGTAGGTTAGTAGAATTTCCTGTTGGGGGAATATTAAATATTAACGTATCATAAAATAGACAAATCCGCAGGTGACTGCTAGTTAATTAACGGAATCCGTTGCATTCCTAAAAAAACCATCGCCCCGCCGCACCTACCGTAGCCGGTGACATTTGTATGCGTTCAATCATTCCACCCTACTGTTATGTATTTTCGGATCTTAATTAAATAATATTCAGAGTTCGATTTAATTATAACGCGGGCATTTTTTTTCTATGAACGGAAATAACTGACCGGGTGTTATATTTAGACCGGACGACTTTTTTATCGTGTCGTGTGTCGTGTCGTGTAAACGGTCGGAGCGGCAGATCCAAAATTAAATGGAGCAAAATATGCCGTAAATCATTAAGATGTTCACCTGTTGAACGTCAGACGCAAATCAGTCTCACTCGAGATGAATCTGTCGTTAGCACGTGTCGATAATATCAAGACGACCTTAGAAATACTCAAATAAACCCACATAATGTATCCGACATACCAGAAATATCAATACACGTACTCTCATTCAAATTAGATTTACTAATATTTTCATTCAATAGTTTATATTTATATAGTAATAAAATTAGCGGACATGTTCTCGTAATATGACATACATTACTATGATTATTATTATTATTGTTTCAATACAGCAAACTAATTGATATCCTTAAATAAACAGAACTAATAATTTGTATGTCATCTGCCAATGGGTCTGATAGTTTGAAACGACGCCAAGTGTAAATGTCGCCACGATTCATACACACTGTCATATAATACTTTATATATTTATATAGATGTAAAACTGCATGTATATTAAATGTTATATACTATAAATAGTATTGAGAGGATAAATTAATACTCGATATAAACAAAGTTCTACTTTCGTTGAAGCAACGCCATCTAGCGGAGTTGGCGTGAACTAAACGCTGTTAAGGTCACGTACGTTCTTGAGGATAGTTGTAAAGCGATTTCGGCGTTGTTTTGAGATAGATTTAAGTTTTATAAAAGTTATTAGTGACTTTCAGTGGAGTGTAACAATGTAACCCATTGATGAAACACAAAAAAAAAACTATCAATCGCGATTGATCTCACGAGAAGCACATGTGAGTGGTGAGCGGGACGGAGCTATACGTGCGAGAGGGACGGCACGATAGTATGTTTTTTTTGACATCGGCACCGATTTTGCCACATGGGAATATTTGGAATAAATAAATTCTTTTATTGCATCTAGTGTTTCCTTTTATCGTTAATTATGTCTATATTAACTTTTTTTGTTAATAATAATTTATGACAATGGCTTTTGAAAGGAATATCTAATGTTATAATTTTATTTCCAAATTCAAATATTCCAGCGAATTATTTTAAACAATTAGCGGACCTTTTTAATACAAACTCCTTTTTAAGTCGAACACGTGAGTGAGACCGAGTTCGACAGTTTTAATTCGGATTCAAATTAACAATATTATATAAAACAATCTCTATGTTGCATAATTATAAATATTTTTGCAATAAAAAAGTAACTTAAACCTATAATTTGTCGACATGACGGTGTTGTGTTTCTTGTCATCAATATTTCTGGAATATTTCTCTAGAAATATAATAAGTTCGTACCGACGCGCGGTTTTCTATCAAATAAAGCGAAAGACCCGATTATATTCAGCCAATGTGCAACCAAAAAGTTTTGTTATGAAATATACACGGATTTATTTTAAAGAACTAAATTATTATAGAAAGGTCTTCAATAGGAAAATGTATAAGAAATCACAGACGTCACATGAAAACTCATAATTTGTTTCTTGGTAAGTTAAATTAAAATATTTGCAAAAAAAAAAAGAGCATCCCGCCTCGTGTTTCAGTTCGGCCGTCGGTTATCAATAGTCATCATAGTTTCTCACGGTGCCATCAAGCGACTGTAGATTTTAATAACTCTATATAAAGCCTATAATAGCCTGTACGTGGATAACATAAGACATCCGCCGCAATTCATAAGCGATAGCGTTTTAATCGTAACCAAATAATATACTTTATAAATAAACATATGCCAATGTTGAAGGTGTATTAGAGCTAGTGACTTGCGGCACACGGTGTAATATAACATATAATGTGAAGTAAACACATAGTATACATAATAATTAGAGTTATGTTACATTATTAACATATAGACAGTTACATTTCGATGTATCACGGAGAGTCGGGTTCATTCCCACGAGATAAGTTCTCGGTACATCGATAGAGCATCCGGATATCGCTTTTCATACATATCGATAGATAATTACTAATAAGTAACATAATATATTCATTTATATAGAAAAACGTTATATAATATAAGTAAATTGTACCGTTTATAATAAAATTTGACGCTTAATACGAGTCTGCTCCACACTACGTACTATCAGTTTCCCGTTTAGAACTCGATAACCTACGTTAATACTTTACCCGTAGTATGAATGAAGAACTACTAATGCTCATTATGTAGTGTTAACTTACAATAGCTTAGCGCACAAATAACTTATTTGATATTCCACCCAAACTCCTAATCTTAATTTGCTAATAGATTCATTCCATCATAATGAATTCCATAAAATTCCATTTCCATCATTATAAAAATAGTCGTTTGTATTTATTATAGATTTTACGATTCCAACAAGACGTTAACTGAACAGAACTATGATACGATAATTTTCCAATAAGATTATTATTAAATCAATTAAATTATTAAACCTAATATATAATAAATTGTAATTTTTATTTATACTAATATTTCGATTATAATGAATATAAGATAAAACCATTTTAATGAAGATGATAACGTTTGTAGAAGTAACTACTACAACTATAGTTATGTGTACAACTATAGTTGTAAATTAAATTTCTCACTAATAAAATAATTCCGTCCGCAGACCATTCTTCTGTATGCTGTAAAAGAATTAACATTTTAAAACACAATATCAGCCACGGAACTGTTTCTCATTTATATATCAAATATATTAATCAATAAAAATATCTACTTTTAACCGTTGCTTCACTCCTTTTAAAGGCGTGTTCTTAGGTTAAAAAGTAGCGAAAATCACATGAAATAAAATAGAATACAGTTCCATAGCTAAAAACACATATAAATAATAAATTTCGCTTCAAAAACCACAAGAAAAACACCCCACGAATTAACTTGGGATAGGTTTCCTATAATTCGCTCTGCATTACAAAGCCGGGTCGAAGGACCGACAGGGCTTGTAACAAACACACAAACAGAAAAATTCGCCTAAATAAAATAAATGGTATAATTGGAAAGGAAACAGTATAGGATATATACAACGCTAGCGGCGGGTCGCAGCAAAATATTTGTAAATATCATTATAAAATAACGCATAGAATTTACAAATCTTTTGTAATATTCGCAAAGCTGTAAAATTTTGTTGCCAATAGATGCGCTTAGATATGCACTTTGATTTTTTTTGGTTAGTATATAGTGGGAACAAAAGAACACATTCCTGTAGTTACACTGCGGTGTTATAAAAACCTGGAAATAAAAGGAGAAATTTTTCTTTTAGACCGATGTTTTAACGATTTATTTATATATATATTTTTAATAAATTAACAAAATTTTAACAACGAAATTAATTTTAATTTTATTTTACGCGTTTCATTAATTATTATTGTAATTTTATTAATTAAATGTAACTATTTCTTAAGATCGTTGAGAATTTGAGATGCACTTGACGCCATCTTAAAGAAACTGTTTTATCTTATTGTAATTAACAACTTTATCCTACACTCACAGATTATTTTAAATTTTTATTTACTGTTATGAAAATCTCGTTATGCGTATTTTTTCACAAAACAATAGTTTTTTTAAGTGTAAAAAAATATTTGTACTTTTTTTTTGAAATAAACCCTAATCACGATTTTTTTTTACGAATCACAACTAAAAATAAATTTCATTTGTATAAAATTTTATTTCAATTCAGTTTTATAAAATCTTATAAGAAAAAGATCAATTTAAACTCACCGAAGAAATTCTTTAACACAACTTGTGTGAAATAAAGACGCCCATTTAATTAAAAACACTTTTAAGTTCTGATAACAGTGAAAAAGATAAAAAAATTACTCGCGCAATGAATCCGGAAAATAATTGACACCACACAATTAAATCGACATAATTCGTAAAAAATAATTAAAACACCATACATTATTTTTACACGCTTCCTATTATATATTTTTTATTTTATATAAATATTTTTAATTTTTTTAAACACCGGTCTTATTAGAATTTTATTTTACGAAGAAGATTTTTTAAAAAAAACTTCATTATCACAGCATCACGGTTAAAATATTTTTTTTCCGATAACATAAAATATTTTTTTTATTTGATTGGTCAAAAATAAAAAAATAAAAATACTCAACATTAAATTCCAATTTAATACACCGTCAAGATATTTATTTTATTTTCCAAAAAAAATATCTAAATTCTTTATATATGAGTTGATTTAAGATCGTGTTAGTCCGCACTCGATTCTTTCAATATATCCAACTACGTCAAGTTAGTGTCACCAAAAGGAACATATACTTACGTTTATCTGTCGTAATGATGTTTTAAATGTAACACGTCTTGAACAACACAACAACACGTACAACAGTGGGATAGTATCACATTAATATATAGTAACAACAACATCAGCGTCCGTAAGAATCAACGAAAGTTGTGAGCCATATGTCGGTCCGTGTTACGTAAGAGCGTGGTGTGGTCGCGGTCGCGCCTGAGTCGCGCGGACGACTGCACTGCGATCCTTTGGGCTCCACAGTACGCGCATCTGAGGCTCGTTCCTTGGCGCGGCTCCGCCCAGTGGGATGCCACACAACAACACCGGAGCCACCGTCCCTTTCCCACCAGTACACCATCGGCAGACAGAATCGCTCTGCCGGCGACAGTGGGGCGCGCCAATGGGATCCGCTCAGATACACTCAACATCCATCGAGATCTACACTTAGGTAACGCTGCGAAACCTTTTGTTGCCCGATACTACTACTACCAACTACACAGTACCAACCTACTCGATACTCTGATGCGCTTTTACGAATACCAGATATCGAATCGCCAGCGAATTACTACTACTATAACTATTATATTAAACATATATAGCATTTATTGATAAGCATTTTTACTTGTTTTTTTATGATATATTAATTTTTTTTTTCGTCCACGCTCGAATTATTTTTATGAGTCGTTTCGAAGCTCCAGCGATCTCGTGAATCTAGCGACGATTGTTGTTTTTGTTTGAATTAATTTTTATTTTTTTGTTATTGATAATTATCTATCAAGTATCGTTGCATTGTTGACTAACCTGAGCATTATAGAAAGTGCACAATCGTAAGGGTAAGTCGGCTAGGGCTCGTCTCAAACGTAGGGGTGTATGAACTCGGTAGGGCGAAAATGTAGGTCAGTTTTTGTTTCGCGCCACCCGAAATTCGGTTACTAGGTTCATATCGGTACCTCGGGATAGTCGGAGGGACTTTCGACTCAGACGAAACTTTGAACATACTTTAATACTAATATAATCATCACTTAATTGATCAACAAACGACTTCAAAGTTTGTTAACACACGTCTAAATATAAATTGTATCCACAATAATGCTATACATCAACTACGTTTCATATATTTAGTGATTTTATTTATTTTTTTATTAATATTAAAATATTTTATACGATTGTCTTATAAAATCTCGTTAACAATGTTCTCTCGTGTGGCAGTTTACGCGTGCGACTCCCCTCGCCGCTAGATGGCGGAAGGCGTCGCTTTCCACATTTTCACGGCATTTTCCCGTAGAAAATACACTTTTATTGAGTATTTATAATACTAATATATTTTATAATTATATAATAAAGTTATCTTCTATCGTATATAGAAGTTTGATGGGATTTTTTCGTTTGAGAAATGAATTTTTCTTCATTGGGTTTTGATTCTCAGAGACTTGAGATCTGAACATACTACGAATACTCGAAGAATAAATTTTATAATTATTAATATTACTTCCGTATCAAATATTAATTTGTATTAATATTATTTTATTGTGTACTTTTTACTTTCATAAAATATTTAGCAATACTCACTTATCTGCTTATTATATTAAAATTAATTATATATAATTTCTTTTAAATATAAGATGTATATATTGAAATAAATCATTTATCAAAGTCTTTTTATTTATATTATATAAGTATATATATATATTACTTCGGTTAAAAAGCTGTAGTGTGAATGACCTCGCCGGTACTACTTGTAAATAAATACATCATTGTTACAACTATATGTAAAAACAACTCATTTGTATGTATATATATAAAAGTTATTTTAATTTATTTATTATAACAAAATTATACGTATGCATTTCTTAATTTTAATTTTATTAATTAATAAATCAAATTTATATAAAAATAGTTGAACATAAGTCAACTGTAGTCGTTTTCAGTCTAGTTGTTAATAGTTGTTTTTAATCGTTTAATATAACTTGAAAGATTTTTCATAAAATCTCTTCAGTCTTGCAACAGTTGTTTGAGTATTTTTTAAGAACTTCTTATTATTATATATATTTTTCATCAATCCCCGTTGCTTCTTAGCAAACGTCAACCCTTCTTATGCAAATTAATTTAAATTAGTCTTTGATTTTTATTAATTTATTATTAATTTCCGAATGAGTCTTATTATTTCAGTGAAGTTGTTCTATACAGTTAATTTGGGAGGATGACGTGATTCATTTAAAGGGTTCCGTACTTTTTTATTTCAATGGAATTAATGAATCTTAAATTTATATACTTTTTCTTATGAGAGATTCCGTTTTATCTGTTTCTGAATTATTCTGATTTTGTTGTAAAATGTTGTACATTCTTATAATACTTTCATATTAATATAACTTTGTGAAATATATTTTTCCGTTTTAATATTTTTGTTTCGTTTGTTGGATACATAGAAAGAATAGAAAAATAACGTCTATTTGGAAATTTAACAGAAAATAAATTCATACATTAAGCCTTTTTTTAATTAAATTAAATATTAATATCCTTTAAAATTATTTTATCTTTTTTTATATAATGTTGGATTGTTAGTCATTTTATCGATTTCACGTACGAAAAGTAGTTTATGGAAAAATTCACTTCGACTCTGCATTTCTCAGTCCAATAACAACCAGAGACACATATGAGTCATGGAAAATAAAAAATATATTTTTTTCTAAAAAAAGTCAAAAGTAATTAAACGATGAAAGCAAAGCGATAAAAATTTGTACGAACAGTTATAAAGTCTGAGAATATAATTTTAACTGTTAGACGACGGCCCGCTTTGAAGGTTTATTTTTAACTGCTGTCTGTACTTTGAAATGTTCGAACCCGGGACTAGCGGTTGATGCGGCCATCGTTACCACTGAGCCATCGTGTCACTTATAAATTTATTTGCAATCAACAATTAATCGAATATAATATGTAGTATTTTTAAAAATTAATTTTGATGACTAAATGAAATAACTGCATTTTATTAAAGACATATATATGTATATTTTTTAATTATTATTACTAAATATATAAATTTCAGTTGTATATATTTATTCATAATATTATTTCAATGACGTGACTTTTGATTTTTTTTAATTTATTTTCTATTTTAATATCATTATGTTAAGGATCATTGATTTCAGTCGGGAATCGAACTTTGAACCGGTTTCTTAGTAATATTTTCAGCTTATTCTCTATACTTCGTATCGGATAGCTATTGACGGTGCACACAATTTGGTAATGCTTTGTGACAACACGTCATGCTAACAGATAAGCGATTTTAGACCTTATTTCTATGCTAATAGGGGGGAAATGATTCGCAAAAATTTGTGGTTTTTGACTTCAAAAATATACAGCCCTTTGCTAACAGCAATGTGCACTTCGATAATAGACAACAGTGTAATGTAACTTACTTTGATCAAATCAAATGAAAAATTACTTAATACTATTTAAAATACATAAAAAAATAATATTATATTTAGTATACAAGAAACATATCGTTTTATGTGTGATAAAGTCTGTATGATAATGCATAGAAATAGATTTTTTTATGCATAACTTTAAAACACAGAGTAGTTAAAGGATTGCTTGATTTGTGTTATAAATAAAGTTATCAGGCTAAATCAATTCAATTTATTTTTCTTCGTGCCAGCTCTGTTATTTTCTGACCTGTGTATGCCATCAAAGGCTTGAAGATGTGACGTCGGTTATCGCTTGGATCATAGAAATGTAACTCACTCAATAGACATATTACGAAAATATATCTCGCTAAAAATACGACCAGGAATATTGACCTCTATCACGTTAGCGACTGGTCGCTAGCGAGGGTCACGTTAAATTTGTTACGATGTGCTATGAAAAAGTAATTTTAATAAAATCATTTACATCAGAACTCCTCTTCAATATTTAAACCTGCATTATAATCGAGCGTTATGCAATAAAATCATACATACGATATTGATCCTTATGTATATATTTTTATGGTGTATTTCGCTTCGTAATAAAATGCCCCCATATAATTCTCAGAGTCATTGTTTCACCACAATCAGCCATTATTAATTAATAGTTATTATATCCTTCAAAAATGCCCAAACGATTTTGTGTCCAAGTGAACGTAGATCTAACAATTGTTTAGACAGGACACGCTTATAACAATCTAATAATCAATCTATTGAATATTACAAGAACATTTAAAATAAATAAAAAAAAATATTTTAAATTATTTAATTTTTATATTCTGAATGTATGTCTTTTAAACTTTTTGTGTATATATATGCATGATTGAATTGATAATACGTATTTTGTGTACATTATCGTAAGTTGATCACTGTTCCGTCTGTACGTTTGTAACACTGTGGTTTTGTAACAATTAAATGTCTACGATGCGGGCTCTCTGTCGCTTGCACTTCATGTGCATTACAACTGACGTTCGATGTGTTACTGTGACGTATATATTGAATTTAAATTTAATATATTATTATTAAAAAAATACATACAAATAAAGTTATGGAAGTTCTGTTTGAAATATAAGGAGAGTCAAATGAAATTTTAATTATGTAGGAATCAAAGAAACGATGTCTCATCAGCTGTTCCAATAGCGACAAAAAATTAAGATCCAAATGTATTTGAATGTGAAAGGGCGCCATGAATGAGAGGAAGTGACGTCACACACGTGGTGATGACGTTACTTGTTTTTTTTTATCAGTTATTGTTATGGATTCTAGCTGATTCGATTTAAATGTTTAAATTAATCAGCCTAAATATATTATTATTATTCTGTGTAAAACATACATAGCGTCAGGACGCCCCGTCGGATATAATTTATTATCTATCAAATAATTGTTATAATTACTCATGCAACACTGAACAGGCCCCTCCATATTATTTTTATTATACAAATCTTCTAATGACTTGCACCATTGTGAGTTCGAAAGCGACTTTTAGGCGACAACGCTAACCTAGAACTAATTTAAATATGGAATTAAAAAAATATATTTTTTTAAATATAAATTTCACTAAACACTGGCATAAAACATAAAACCTATAAAGAGGATGAATAAAAAAAAGCTAACTCAAACTGTGACAGGCGAATGTTTGTTTAACAATATTTTAAATATCGAACGCGATCGGATTCTTTGTTTAAATATTTGAATTCGTTCCATTCATTCTAGGACGCGATCCATCGTTTATGGTTATGTCAAAAAGAATCGGTTCAATTTGCATATGAATATGATGCATACAACCACATCCAGCCGTATATATAGTATTATTGTTTGTAGTTTTTATGTCCGATACTTATATTTGGTGCATCGCTTTTTTTTTTTAAATACTATTTGTTCTCTGATCTGACTTAAATCTATGTGACGTTTTTGAACACGGCGTGCTTATCGTGCTTTCATCTCTATTTTAATGTTGTGAATAAAAT